GGCACCGCGCCCGGCCCCGAGGAGCAAATTCAGCCCCCGGCGGAGGGTGGCCATTCAGGCGAGCGAGGAGCCGCTCCCACAGCTGCCCGCTCCTCGCTCCGTTCGCGTGGGGGCAGCGTGAGTTCCTATTCGTGATTGGACACCCACTCGCCTTAGCAACCTTCCTGTTAATTGCTTTTATAAGTCTTTCTCTTTCTTTAATACTCGCCCGAGGATATTTTTCCCATTGATTTTTTTTTTTTTTTTAGAGAGAGAGAGATAGTGGAAGGGAGGGAGGGAGGAGAGAGAGACACACCAATCAGTTGCCTCCCACACTCCCCCCCATCGGGGCCTGGGATCGACCTGCAACCCAGGTACGTGCCCTTGACTGGGAACTGAACCTGCGACCCTTCGGCGTGAGGGCCGCCGCTCCAGCACCGAGCCTCACCGGCAGGGCCTGCGTTTACATGTTGGTGCCCGAGCCCCCCTACCTCCCAGTTCCACTTCCTAGACCTTCTTCCTAAAGGTCGGCCGGCCCTTCTCGTCACCGGGTTTAAAACAAAGGTTGCTCATTCCATAGTGTGCTTTTTAGGGTAACTCGGGGTACGTTTGCTTTATCCTTTGGTTTTACCTGATGTCCTTGGTTCCCTTTTTATTCACACCCCACCCCCCACCCCACACACAATGTAGGACATCCCCAAAGAGTCGGCGCCAGTGCTGTTGTCCGTGAACGACCGAAAGGTGCCGAGGGCGGGGAAACCGGGTCAGCCGGCCATTCTTTGAACAGGTTCCCGAGTCCAAAGCTGCCCCCCGCACCCCGTGGAGACACGCGTGCTAGCCCCCCGCTCTGGAGAGAAGCCTGCGAGGCTGGCGTGGAGAGGGATCGCGTGCCCTGTGTACACGCTGGCTGTCACAGGAGCGCGTGCTGCTCCGTGTTTTCAGCGACATGCTACCCGGCACCCACGTCCTGGTGTGTCGGGCTGAGTGACCTGGGACAGTCCCAGGAGGGGTCTGGGTGGACGGCCGGACCTGCTGCTCCATTCTGGCATCCCAAGAGCGCGGGCGGCGCCTGACACGCAGTGATGCTGGGCTCTGATTATTTCCGCGGGGCGTGGTCTTGGGGTTTCTGCCCAGAATGACCCTGAGCTCCCTGCCGCCTCTCTCTCTCCAGGCCCTCCCCCGGGGGTCCCTCTTGGCCTCTGACGTCCAGAGCATGTGGGGGGAAGGGTATTTGTTATTTTTGTCCCAAGATAAAACCTCCACACTTTTCAGTGAACGGATCACGGAGCAAAAGGGAAATTCAGAGCAAAATGTTACGCCTGGTGAGAAGCGAGGCCTTTGGAGGGGGCGCCCCGCCCAGAGGAGCAGGCTGCCCGCCCGGCCCTGCCTGGTTCAGAAGCTGCCTGAGCTCAGCTGATGGCGTCAGCGCTCAGGGCTGTCACGTGGTCCCCCTCAGGCTGCTGAAGGGCTCGCTTGGGAGTAGAGAGAGGATGACGAGGCCCTTGGAGGCCTTCTCCTCGCTGGAGGGCAGCCATCTGATGTCACCTCTGGTTTCTTTCTTTTTTCAAAAGACCTTGATGTTTAGAGAGACTGTGAAGTGGGGTCTGCAGGTGGGGTTAGGGGTCTGCAGGTGGGGTCCGGGGTCTGTAGGTGGGAATCGGGGTCTGCAGGTGGGAATCGGGGTCTGCAGGTGGGGCCCGGGGTCTGCAGGTGGGGTCCGGGGTCTGCAGGTGGGGCCCGGGGTCTGCAGGTGGGGTCCGGGGTCTGCAGGTGGGGTTAGGGGTCTGCAGGTGGGGTTAGGGGTCTGCAGGTGGGGTCCAGGGTCTGCAGGTGGGGTCCGGGGTCTGCACTGAGCCAGCACCAGGCGGACGGGGATGAGCCAACTGTGAGACCGGCTGGGGAGGCAGGACGCGTGGCCGACAGCCATGTGACTCTCCCGAGGTGGTGACCAGCTTGGGGGTCAGCCTCTCTCCATCTGAAAAAGGCAGAGGGGCCCCTGGGCCCTGGGGTGATGGTGCGAGGCCATGGGTGTCATTTACATCACTCGCTCCTCACCGGCCCGGGAAGGAGTGGGGGGGGTAGGTAGGTGGGCAGGTAGATAGATAGATAGATGATAGGTGATTAATAGAGGTAGATAGATGAGAGATAGACAGATGGCAGATGACTGACAGAGATAGACAGATAGACAGACCGAAGGACAGATGATAGACAACCGACCGATAGCTGATGGGCAGATAGAGACAGACAGCCTGGCAGGTGTTCCTCCAGCTCAGGGACTTGGGACCCAGCTGAGGCCGTGGCTGCTGGATCGAGTCTTTCTTTTAGCCTCACGAGCAGGCGCCCTCAGCAGCCGGGCTCCTGGCGTGGAGGTCCCAGAGG